GCGCTGGTGGCAGGCCTCGAGTATGGCCGAACGCAAGCCTCTGCCCGGGCCTGAATTGACCTTAGCATTACAAGTGAATGAGAAGTACCTTTCATAATCGTTTGGCGTCAAAATACCTTTGTAATAAAAGTTTCGGCAGGTTCTGAAACACACATTGCCAGAATATCGTCAACGAGAGTTCATGCATTTAAAAATTATCGCAGAAAAGTGGGGTCTCAAGGGGTTTGACGTCCATAGTAGTTTGATGGCCGATGCTTAGTATCGCATATGGTTAAGCCGGGGACGTTAGTCGATGTCGTTTTGTTCTTGCAAAGGCTCAGTCAAGAAGCTGGAAATAATGAACCCTCATCTCATCAGAATAAATTGGAGCACTTGGAATGATGAGCACATTTAACGACAGACCGGCATCCTCGCACAAATTGCTCTCAGCCAGTGTAATCTTCTCCATAAAAGTGGCGCAAACTTCCGCCGCTCATAGCCTGGACGGAGCAGTTTCGTGGAACAGGCCAAGAGTTCATGAACCCCGGAAGATATCAGGACGTTTGAAATCAAGTCTCACAATAACAATACATTTGCATAACAAAAAAAAAATGTTTTCTTAAACTACATCTGTAACTGCATAGACGCTACTAAATGACGCACACTGGTTTACAGAGCAAACGAAGGCAGTTCTCCGTTGTGATTCCGCTGCGGACGGAGCTGGGGGTCGAGTGGGAGACCGTTCGCCCGGTGGCATGAGGCCACTCATGAAAACACATTCAAATCCACCACCAGTGTTTATGTAATCGGCGTTTAGGCGCACTCTACCACGTGCACCATAAGCCGACGGGTACCAGCCTCCAGCAGAGCTAAACAACGAGCAGACCCATAGAGCTAGTTTGTCAGTTGATAGTTCATTTCAAGTTCAAAGATAGACCTCAATTTACCAATGAGCATTCAATATTGACAAACGAAGAAACTTGAACAAAGCCAACGATCCCAAGAATGGATCATAACGGACATTTTGTTTTGGTAATAGCAAGTAGGTAGCTTTTACCTTACAGCATGTAAAACTTCTGAGTTCTATATTATTACTTAGAGTGATTATTAACCTTCCACGCGGTGGGGGGACATTTTTTGCCCCCCCCCCCCTTAGTTTTTTTTATATATCTCCAGAACTGCTGCGCCGATCGTCACCAATCTTTCAGTACCCTCCCCGGCATAACTTTTACACATGTGACCATAACTTTTCCCAAAGGCTATGATCGATTGGCCGCTAATAACGTCGGAGTGACGTTATTTCTGCCATTTTCGACCAAAAAAAAAAAAGGTTTCGCGGGAAGAACTGTCAGGCCTATAACTTTGACGGTACAGAAAAATGTTCGAAGATAAAATGTGTAGAATTACTAGGGCTACTATACTGCCATCTCGAAATTTTGAAAATTTAGGAATTCAACCCCCAAAATCAAATATTTTTTTTTTTTATAAATAGCCAAAAATCCCAAAAGTTTTACTATTTTCAAAAACCCGGAATACATAGGGGAAGTTGGGGCAATGCCGGAGTTGGGGCAAAGCCGAAATTCGAGATATTTCGAAAACCATAAGACATGGATGCCACTTGTCAGTGATGCTCTGAAGCTTAAGTGACTACAATTATCGCATGTTTGTTACGAGTCGTCATTTGGAATACTTCGGCTGTGAGGGCGCCAAGAGCGTTTTCAAGGTACGCGTTCTTTGTACTACATGCGCCTTTGAAGCTGCATTTCTTACTCATTATGCTACCGTTTGTCTGGCCAATTCGGTCAAGTAATCTTCAGCATGTCTTTGCATAAGTGTGCTGCCTATTTGAAATTTATACGACACGTTGAAAAGTTATGGGCCTGCAAATGAAAGTATGGCTGGCTGGGGTAATGCCGAAAACGTGCAATTGCGCACTTTAAAGCACGCTACGTGGACTTTACTGCTGTAGAATAGCAACGCGAATTTTTAGTCACACAAATTACACTTTCAACCGACACAACGGCCTGTTACCTATAAGGAATTATTTACCTGGCATTTTCTTATTATATCACACAATTATAACTTCCAGTGTGCACCAAGCGTCCTCAAGCTCTTAAAACGCGTGTCAGCTTTGATAAATTCTGGATAAAGTTTGAGATAAAGTGGCAAAACATCAATGTCGGTATTCCCCGTAGATCATTTCTCCCATTTTCGGCTTTCCCCGCAGTCCGGGGCAACGCCGAAAAAGTCACTTCTTTGATATTTTTAGTTTGTGCGCTTAACGGTATGCGAATTCATCAAATGCGCCTGGTATGTTTGAAAGGCAAAAGACTGGCCTCTCGAATGACGCCAACAAGAATAGCTTATGTTGTCTACCTTGCGTGCTACGGGCGTCAGAAAAAAAGTATTCGGCGTTCCCCCAACTTCCCCTATGTAATAGCCCCTATCACTTCTATTCACATAATAAATTTCAGATCCATACCTCTTTTGGCTAAGGAAAGAGCAAAAACCTGTTCAAAATTGATGACGTCATTTTTTTACAATTTTTTCAAAATTTTCGTCAAATTTTTAGCAATTCTAGACCACGTAGCGCAAAACAAATGCCACCATTAGACTTGCCGTGACGAGCTGCATCGAATCAATACCCATTTTATGCAAAACTATCAACTTTGAAATTTGACCTTTTTGACCGGACATTGACCTGACCTTCACCAGAAAGTGATCTAAACCGTACCTGATGGTCTTATAACCAACACTATTGAGTTGGAAATGAAAAATTGTCCATAATACATGCATCGCATTGCACAACCCTAGTTCAGATGGGTTCATGTGCTGACCCCTGGACCTGGTGACCTGACCTGTGACCTGACCTGGTATTATCAGTGACCTCTAATAGCAACATACATAAGTACTAGGCAGCTGAGGCCCTATCGCTGATTTTCGACAAAATGCGTTTTACTCAATGTTATAGCGTATTTCCCTAGAAGACCCATGAACGGTGAAACATTTTATCTTTGACCTGACCTGTGACGTCATCGGTGACCCCAAGGTCAATGAAATTAAATATCCAACAAATTTTACAGGGCTATCGAACGCCGTTTGAATTTTATGGATCCCTCCAATAATGTCGGGGATACGGGGTGGGGGCAAAAAATACCCCTCCCCCCACACCGTGCGGAAGGTGGCCGGGAGGCCCACTGATCCGGCCACCCACTGCCTGCCGGGTTAAGCCACGCCCCACTGGGATATATATTGCAACGCACCCCACGGGGGTCTTTTTGCAGCCCTCCCCCCCTTTAAATCTGAAACTACTGGGCCGATTGTCAAAGTTCAAAAGGCGTCTGATAGTCCCGGAAAATTGTCTAGCGAAACCTAATTTCATTTACTTTCACCGATGACGTCATATGTCAGGTCAAAATAAAAAGTATCAACGTTTTGGCTTGTTCACAATTTGTGCTTTGGCTTCCGGCTAACAAGTCAGATCTGGCTTTTTTACTCGTTAATAGATGTTTTAGATACCCTGAGGATACCCTTGCACTTTGATTTTGTTAAGGTCAAGGCCAGGTAATTAAAGGGCACAGAAATTCTATATCATGCATCGGTCACGTGACACATATTATATACTCCATTTAGGCCTTAGATTTCGAAATCAGTGTCGTTTGTGTCATTTGAGGCCATTTTCAGCTGAATATGGCTGAGGTCAGGTCACTTTCAGGTCAAACTTTTAGGTTGGCATTTTTCAACAAAAAGTGCCTATCAATCAGATGCAGTTTGAGTTCAGAAACACAATGGTGCTATTCATTTTGTTGTACGATGTCGAAAACGTACTGAAAAATGGATTTAAAAAGCATATACCTAATGATAAAATAGGATTCACTACAAAGCGTATAGCACAGCTATTTTTTTAGATATCTGACTAAAACTACCTTGAGTATGTGTTCTATCACATATATTTCTTTTCGAAAAGTCAAAGTTATAGAGAAAAAATATTTCCGTTTTTAAATTTACCATTTTTATAATTTACCAAATTTTTGAAAATCCGAGACAGCAGTTTGGTCGCCCTGTGTGTTCTGAGTCCTCTCATGAAAAGAAATCGGATCGAGCTTACTGAACTCTTGAGAGCGACTACTGTCGTTCAAAGTTTTGCGTCGAAATCGGTCAAACATGACGTCACTCTGCGTCATTTCCGGCTGACATATGGTGGCTGCTTAGTTTCTATTTATTAGACACAAGGTGTCAATTTGGTGCAGTCGAAGGTTCTGCAAGTTTTGTGTTGATAAATCCAACGTTTTAGAAGATATTGCAGAAAACGAGAGGAGGGCTATGGATAGCCCCCTTTCCAGTGGGGCGCGGGTTAAGCTAACATATGTCTTGAAACATTCGTATTTATTACACATTCACTCGTAACGCTAGCTAGCAGCTCTAAAATATTTTTTCGCTTTTTTTTCTTTTTTACTTGGGCTGGAACGAGAACTTCTAAATATCATCTTCCCGCTCAGTTATTACTTCTTCCCATGGGTATCTCAAGTTACCCCTCAACGTTAGAACTTAGCCGAGAGGAAGAATAATTAAATACTCATTGTTGGATACCACTTCAAAACATATTGTTGATTTTTTATAAGTGGTCGGGGGAAGTGATATGCCTTTGAATAAAAGTTTATAATAAAACGCTTCTGAAGCATAGCAGGGGAATGGGCTGAGCGCCGCAGCGAACACTCGGTGGAAGGGTTCCGGCTGCACTGAAACCGGGACAGTCTGGCACTGGGTCCGGGCCCCGGGGAACCGGGACCAAGACCGTCTGGGACCGAGACAGACGAAACCGTGTGGCATTGGTAACGAGACTAGGACCGTCTGGAACTGAGTACAGCACCTGGTCTGGCGGTTTAGTGTCCGAGTACAGCAACTGGTCTGGTGGTTTAGCGTCAGACGTTAGCACCTGGGGCTTCTGTCCCGTGCTGTCTGTGTCGGATCGAGTGGCAGCCCCGCCCAGAGCGGACCCCGGCGGCGGACCGGGGACTGACCTGCGGGAGCGGCTCCTTCCGCCGAGCACGGCTGACGTGGTCGGCGTGTCGGCCTCGTCCGAAGAGCCTGTCGGAACGGACCGCCGGTCAGCGCCACCAGCAGCGACACATCGCCCGATCAGCGCCACCAGCAGCGACACATCGCCCGGTCAGCGCCACCAGCAGCGACACATCGCCCGGTCAGCGCCACCAGCAGCGACACATCGCCCGGTCAGCGCCAACAGCAGCCACACATCGCCCGGTCAGCGCCACCAGCAGCGACACATCGCCCGGTCAGCGCCACCAGCAGCGACACATCGCCCGGTCAGCGCCACCAGCAGCAGCATATCGCCCGGTCAGCGCCACCAGCAGCCACACATCGCCCGCACCCGCACACCCATCCCGACCGTACCGATCTCAGCGAAACCGATCATCCGCTGGGGGATCGTTTTTATCAACAGCCACATATTGTACCCATGCTCTTTCACTTATTACCGAGCAAAAACAAATCCTACCCGACAGCCCCTCCAAATCAAAATACAGGCTATTTAGTATGAATGCTGCTCTAGCCTCTGATGTGAGCATGTGATGAGGTGGTGCGGGCCACGTACTGCTGAAGCCGCGGCGTCCTGGCGACTGACTGATGGAAGCGGCGCTGAGGTTGTTGGCCAGGTCGGTGACGGGCGAGGGCAGCGCTGGGTCGGAGCGCACCACCAGGCCGGACCGGTTCGGCATCGGCAGCTCCAGGCGGCGGCGCAGCGGGCCCGACATGGCGACGGCGGCGGCACGGCGGCACGGCTGGCCGAGCGGGACGGGGCGCGTCACACACCGGCCAGCGGCGGCACGGCGGCACGGCTGGCCGAGCGGGGCGGGCGCGTCACACACCGGCCGGCGCGCGGCGGGGCGCGTCACACACTGGGCAGGGGGCAGGGCTGCAATACCCGGCATTGCAGGCAACGAGCTGAACACAATGGCTTACAGAGCCATTTGTGTTCATCAGCAGCATGATATCAGCTGTTTATGTGAAAACAATTAATATAAACGGTTGAAACCTACAGCTCAGATCATGGACATGCAGGGGGGAAAGGAGCTTTCCATAACCACTAAATACCACCCAACTCATGAAATAATGTAGAACTAAACTGAGACACCTTATCAAAGTGAAAAGTACCTAATTTGAAGCTGTGATAGTACAATAACTGTACTAGGCAGTGCAATGACTTATTATGATGATAGCACTCATGGTAATTTTAAATGAAGTGCTTTGACCTGACTCACACAAGTACCACAGTAATATTTGACAAAAAACATGTCCCAAAATGATGTACCCTTCCATGTCCCAACTCCCAGTTCAGGTGAAGGTTATGGCCTTCTTGGTACCTAATCTTTGACTTATGCACCCAGCCCCCACAGCACTACAAAGACCAAATGTTGGTGTCAGGTACGTTTTGGGTAGGCATTTTGGGCATATGTGAGGTCCAGGTGGTGGGTTGTAGGTTGGCAGGATGTAGGTTGGGTTGGTAGGTTGGGTTGGTAGGTTGGGTTCGTAGGTTTAGGATGGTAGGTTGGGTTGGTAGGTTGGGTTGGTACTTGGTAGGTTAGGTTGGTAGGTTGTAGGATGGTAGGTAGGTTGTAGGTTGGTACATTTTGGGTTCGTAGGTTGTAGGAATGAAGGTTGTAGGTTTAAGGTTGGTACCTAAGTTATTTAGTAAGATAGTAAGTGAGGTTGGGTCAAGATAGATTATATTTTTATCTACTTAGACTTCATTCTTCAAGTTTAAAGGGACCCTCCCACCTTAACATTAGTTTTGAGTTGAGATAGCCAAATTGGTGGCCATGGCCTGCAAATACCGGTTTGGGCACTCACAACATCGACAAATGCTTTAATTCGGAGATATGGAATTTCAAACTTGCAGTTTTCGGATTCTAAGGGGCTAGTGCATTGGTATGCCCCCTTAGAATTTGTGACGTCAGCGGAGATCTAACGATTTTTAAATCTTTTACTAAAACGTTTGGTAGCACGCGGTGGTATATGCTGCTTTGCGCGCAACAAATGCCGCACTTTCAAATAAAGTCGCTAGGAACAGAGGAGATCCCAAAAAGTAAACAAAAGTAAAAGTCTAATATCTTGAAAACCGGTGAATATTTTTCGGTGAAATTTGGTAGATATTCATTTTCGCTCTTTCTGAACCGAGCGACATCACTTTAAAGGGACCCTCCCACCTTAACATTAGTTTTGAGTTGAGATAGCCAAGTTTGCGGCCAGGCTCAGAAACCACCATTTATCCTGGTCGCAACCCCCGCAGCTTTATGGTGTTCAAGAAATTTCTTTCCTTTCCTTGCAGGGTGGGACCAGCGTGGTCCCTATCTCTTAACCATTACGGGAATCTGATGACGTCATCAGGCTTTCGAACGTCCGTTAAATGTTTGACTAAAACGTTTTGTAGCACGCGGTGGTATATGCTGCTTTGCGCGCAACAAATGCCGCACTTTCAAATAAAGTCGCTAGGAACAGCGGAGATCCCAAAAAGTAAACAAAAGTAAAAGTCTAATATCTTGAAAACCGGTGAATATTTTTCGATGAAATTTGGTAGATATTCGTTTTTCCTCTTTCTGAACCGAGCGACATCACTTTCATGCCAATTCATTAACTTTTTTGAAGGTGGGAGGGTCCCTTTAATGCCAATTCATAAACTTTTTTGAAGGTGGGAGGGTCCCTTTAACGGTGTTAGTAGGTTCCATTCAATTTGTTATGGCTTGATTACCAGTTTTTATACAAAAGTTAAATGATAATATTGATGCAACTGTGACACTTGTGGTACAAATGGACAAGTGCCTTTAAAAGGTTACCGTAACCACTCTGCAATCACTCTGCCCCACAATTTCCAGTAGGGTAAGAGTTATTGTCAAATGATGTAACACCACATTGCATGCAAACTCAGTGGCACATGACCTAACCTGACATTTACATTACACCTGTGTAGCACCTATCCTCTTGGATAAGGCATCAGGTACCCTATCTAAATAACCAGGTGCTTAGTCTAAGTCTACCTTAACCCTAGTCAAAGAATCCTCATGCTGATTACCAGGTCTTATCCGACTATGATGACCTTACAACATTTCAATTTCTCAAAGCTCTGATTGCAAAAAAAAGTTTTTTAGCTTAAAATTGCACATAGAGCAGGGCAGCTCATTCACTTTGATCCCAATCCCCTACGCCTACAAAACATCTATACCGGCCCATCATAAGAAACCTTTCATTTCAGTTAGCAAAGTAACACTTACTCACCACAAACAATCGAAGAAAAGCAGTGATTTAGCCGCCAGACGTCAAAGGTAAATTTAATAAATGTTGTTAATTAGAGAAGAAGTGGGGAGTATGAGGTCTTTAGGTGATTTAGGGGATTTAGGGGGCGTGCCGCCGAGCACAACACACCGGAGCCGGAACCCTCCTCAACTCAAATGCGGCGCGTTACCAAGGCTGGTATTTGGAGCGTATCAAAGATGCTTAAAACGCTGTCAAATTTACAACGAAAATGCCTTTGGCAAATGGCTTCGTCAAGAATGTTGTAGAGCTGCGATTTCAGAAATTCCGTTACGTCTATGTTGAGATGCGTCGAATGATATGTTTTTGTATGGGTGAGATCAGCTTCATGTGTTAGCCCCAGGACATGAAGCAGGTGGAATGGTCTTATCACGTCTCTCGATTTGGCAGGTCGTCCCGAGGCCACTGGTGGCTCTTTCCTAGCCAATAATTCTGAGTGGGGCCCGACTGGGCAAACCTTGGGCATGCCCGCGGTATTTGGTTGGGCTCGCCCAAGCTCCAACCCGGGTTCTGCCCGGCGTATGACACACTTACACCGACCAAAAGCGAAAGTGGAATGGATAGGGCCCTAACTGGGCAAGCCCGTGCGGAACCCAAGCTCAAACGACCTGCCCGGGCTAACTTGGGCATTGCCCGACTTATTCCATGCCGATAGCGCGGGCCAAGCTTAGGCCAAGCCCAAGCTGTGCCCTAGTGGCGCACAGCTTGGGCATGCCCAATGTCAGCCCAAAAATCATGGAAAATCATTGCCTGGGCTAGGACCAGCCCAAGTTGGTTTTGCCCAAGCATATCCCGAGCCATACCCAAGTAGCAAAACATCCAAACCGGGCTAACTTGGGGTATGCCCAAGGTATGCCCAACTTGCCCAGGATACGCCCGAGCTAACTGTTTGCTGGGGACTCGGTAGCTCAGCTCAACTTGATTGGAGCACCCTCAGGAAAAATCTGAGATATAGGTACAAGTTTTGAGTATCTGGAGGATGTGAACTAGGCCCCTATAGTCTCATCTCCTTATGAAAGCTCGCTCTGGCATTGAGGGCGTTGCGATTAGGACCATGCAGAGGTTCACTTATAACGTCATAGATAAATGATCATTGACATGCCCTGACCCGGTCTTAAATTGCACTTCAATATCACAAGGATTTATCTTGAGTCACAGGTCAGGTGTGCCAGGCAACTTTCAGCTCTCTATCTCGTGCGTGTTCCGAGCTATTGCGAAAACAAAACTTATGGGGGCGGCACTTTCCCCCCCCCCCTTATACACAAACACCTATCTACCGATCCTCTCCGCAGGTGAGGATTATACCAAAGTCACGGTACCTATATGAGACGCTAACTTGATGGATATCGCAATTGGCGCAAAATCATCAAGCTGACCTTTTAAGGTCACCGAGGTCACCTGAGGTCCCCAATTCCAATAAGCAAGGTGAAATTTTACCAGTGGTGGGCACTGGGTACTTCGATAACTCCTACCGATAACGATTATCGAAGTCGTTATCGACGATAACGTTTTTTCAAGTTTATCGTTAGGTATTCATTACCGTTTATATCGAAGTAGCGTTATCAAACTCCCCGTTTCGGTCAATCGAAAACGATAACTTAATAAAACGATAACGACGCGAGGGAATAGTTAACCTTCAACATGGAGATATCAGATAACAGTTTTGTACGTAGATTGAGCACTGAAAAATGCCATTTAATTGGAATATTTTTCGGCCCAACAAGCTCTGTCGTCAAAGATATTCAAATTTTTGTTTTACGCTTGTTTATTTGTTTGTACGAGAAAATTAACATTTTCACTGTTTTTAGCCTTCCTTTTTGTTTGCAGCCCTAATGGTGTTGTATGAGCGAATGAGTAAAATATTAATTAGAAGGTTACCTCTTGGCTCTTCCTTTCAAATATTTTATCCATTCGATTTTTTTTAAGCTATCGTTATAATAGTTATCGCGTCATCGAAGTGACCGATTTGGTTATCGACTTAGGGGAGAGCGGGGAGAGTTGTATCATGTCCAAGTTGTATCAGGGCGAATTGTGCCAAACTTATCCAATGGATAGCGCTCGCGACACGACCAGCCGACGAGGTTTTCCGGGCGCCATCTTTCCCTGTTCTGTCTTGTGGCTGAGTGGAAGCGTCTCGAGGTGAGAGCCGATTTTATGTTTTTTAATGTCATTCTAAAAAAATAAGTTGCAAGAAAATGTGTGTTTTGGGCATTTAGATGTGCACGAATTTGAAAGATCTCCGTAGCGGTGGTGAGGGTAGGTTCTAAGGCTGCGCGAGTGAAAACGGATTTCTCCAGCTGTCCGCTGTTTTTTTAGCACGAGGATGTCTTTTTCCAAGATGGCGGCTAGGTACATGTTGTATCAGAGCCGGGTGGGGTATGTTGTAACATGTATGTGTGTATGTATGTATGGGTATGTTGCTTTTGATCGCGAAAGCTAAGCCCTGGCTCGCGTTTGTAGGTAGCTAGTCAATGCTCGTTCCATTTCGGCACAATGTGTTGGCTTCTTTGCTCTTAACGGGCCACTTTTGCGTCTAGTCTGTTGATGTTTCGTTCGGATTGCATTGACCTAAGTTTGGTCTAATAAAGTGAAGCCTTTGAGCATACCTATACATTGTATTAACCCCATTTAATGTTGTTGCTATGTTCAAAACCAGAAGCAAGCACACTCCCTGAAACGTGAAATAGTGATACAAATTACCCCACCATGTGATACAACTCACCCAAGCCATGGGGCAAGTTGTATCAAAAACATTGTTCTATTCGGCAGACCGTAGAAGAAAAACTGGTAGAGGTAGCGGAAAAGTTACTTTGCACAAAAAAGCAGAAGAATCAAGGAAGGGGATAGTATGGAAATAATGAGATTATCACGGATACTTACGAGGTTATGGGTCTCGGAGTAAAAACTGATACAACCCACCCCACTTTCCCCTATTGTTATCGAAGTCGCTGACTTCGAAATCAAGTCGTGAAGTTACGAGTGCCTGGCAATTGGAAATTGCATGCGGCAAATCGACTACTGAGTGCTGGTGGTATTTTCGTCCTACGTCGGCCCAGTGCATCAGAGTAGGTAAAGGGATCCGATTTCATCAGCCGTTTCGAATATGGTGACCTCAGGTGACCCGTGGTGACCTCGAAATGTCAAAGCGACGTTTTCTCACATTGCAGCCACTCGGGAACTACCAAGCCCAGGTGAAAAAATCTTACAAGATTGTCAGGCATTATTATGCAAGACAATCTTGCAAGAAATTGGCCCACTTTCTTGTAAGATATTGTGTATGAATCTTGCATGTCTTGTACAAGATTCTTGTAAATCTTTTACAAGAATCTTGCACATCTTATACAAGATTCTTATAAATCTTGTGCAAGAATCTTGCAGGTCTGGTACAAGATTCTTGTAAATCTTTTACAAGAATCTTGCACATCTTATGCAAGATTCTTATAAATCTTGTGCAAGAATCTTGCAAGCCTGGTGCAAGATTCTTGCAAATCTTTTACAAGAATCTTGCACATCTTATGCAAGATTCTTATAAATCTTGTGCAAGAATCTTGCAAGTCTGGTGCAAGATTCTTGCAAATCTTTTACAAGAATCTTGCACATCTTATACAAGATTCTTATAAAGAATCTTGCTGGTCTGGTACAAGATTCTTGCATGTCTTGCACAAGGCTCTTGCAAGAGTCTCGTAAGACTCTTACGTGTACTGTATAAGAATCTTGCAGGAGTCTTGTACAAGACTCTTGCATGTCTTGTACAAAGCTTTTGCTTGAGTCTTACCAGACTGTTGCAAGAGTATTGTACAAGACTTCAACAAGTTTTGTACCAGACTCTGGCAAACCTTCTACAAGGCTTGCTACGACTCTGACAAATCTTCAGCAAGACTTAGAAGTCTTATCGAAGACTTGCAAGCCTTGTGCAAGACTTCCAGACACATCGTTGCCCTAAGATATTGTTTCGATTGTATTAATGCCGAGACCCATGTGAACGAAATCCACAAAGTGAAATGGATAATATGCCATGAGTGTAAACGTCAAAATCAATATGTAGGTATTCATAAAAAATGTTTAGCTGAGAACACATATCAACAGCCCTTTACTTTTCGAGTCATCCACACGTCACAGTCACATCACATCATCACACCGTTGACGTCACGTCATGTCACCATTGTCAAGGCCGCCGTTCCGTCTGCATCCAGCTATACTCGTACACATCTTGATCTTGAGCGAGGATGTCGCCCGTCGAGCCTTGCATCGCATATTATTGGTGAGCCGAGATTCTCGAATGCTGAAATGAAATGTCATTTATATAATCAGGTAATAAATATCCCAAGCCAGATGTGAAAAGGTGAGCCAGTACTTATCAGTCAAAAACTAGAATTGATGGGGCTCATTTTCGATTAAAGATAATAAATTCAGCATGCCTATCATAGCTATCATCCTCACGTATCTACCATCCCTGGGCCCAGTTTCACCGTATGACGTTACCGTCAGCACTACTCCCTTTGTGGCATGCAAAAGAATGACAGGCGATCAGCTATTTTTGAGTGAACGTTTCGGCGCTGTTTTTTCTTTAATGCTGCAAATATTGAGAACAATTTTCTTATTGTTACACAGCAATACAGCATGGCAGAACCTTACCTTCAGGTCGGAAGAGGAGACGGCAGACGACACCAACACCGCACGGCACACACTCGACACCCCCGTCGGCCGTCCGCACATCGCGAGCGGGCAGTGAATGGGACGGATGGAATGCGGCGGAGGGGGGCGCGCGCGACGCGCGCTCCCCTCCCCGGCGTCTCCGGCCTCCGCCCCAGGCGAGGATCGGGAGGGGACGCCCGCCGCCGACCGTACGGTCTCTAAAACGGACAGTGGTCGCTAAATTCCAGTCGGTACAGTCTCTAGAAGATCACCACTGCGCACAAATGCACGCTTAAGTCCCCGAATAATACAGTACAGTAATGCGTCAAATTAAGCTGAGAATGTTATGAAGGGATTTGGGAGTTATGAAGTGAATCGATTCTTTTATAGGGATCAGTTCACAACTCGTAATTCCCTATATATCGGGACAATGTTGACAACAACATTCGAATGTTGATGTCCCGCCAGTTCTAATAATGAGATGTGACGTCCTGATTACTAGGTGAATAAATCCCGGTAGGTTGCAGATTGAGAACAAATGTCCAGTCCAACTTATCAATGCACCGGGGCGAGGCATTTCTCCCAAGGTACTTGTAGGCGCTGGATAGTGCTTTACGGGTGGCTTGAGCTGAGTGATTTTACTCTGATTTATTTCAAACTAAAGTTGATCGGGATGTCGTAATATTTCGGTATTAAAATAAAATATAAACTCAGGCACAAAATAGCACACTTCACACCGGTTCTTATCACCGTCTTTCTCACAGGTTCTTCTTCTTTCACGCACATATTCTCAACCACAACCACCGTCAAAAGCGATTTTTGGTCCGCGGCTACATGAAAGGCTTATCTTATTCTACACCAATTAAACTTAAATATCACTTAACTTCTTCCTTCCTTGCCTTGCGGTTTCGATACTTATTTTCAAAACCTTTGTTCTAAACCTATTTTACTTGTTTAAAATTATTTCTGTCCTACTTTTCTACTTCAGCAAAATTTTATTTGGTGTAGCTCGTGCCCGTCACGAATGACGCCGCCGACATAGAAACGGCATCTACACCCCCGCCCCCGTCGGCGCACGTTAGCCCGAGCGTCACTTAGTGTTCGCTTCGACGGTTGTTATTCTCCTGCTTCCGCGAGGAGAACCAGCTTAGTCACCGGACGCTTCAGCACTGTGCTTTTCGTCTGCACGTCCGCCGCACGAACGGCTCCGCCCGCATCTGGAAAGACGCGTGTCACGCGCCCGATGCTCCATGTGCTCCTAGGAGCGTTCTTGTCTGCGATGATAACCAACGTCTCCGACTTGTAGGTTTCTTTCTTCCTTCGTCCACTTCTGCCTGTGCTGCAGAGTCTGCAGATATTCTTGGCTCCATCTTCTCCAGAACTCTGTTGCCAGGTGCTGAACCTGCCGCCATCTTCTTCTGGTGTAGTTGTCGCTGTCGCTAAACGCACCAGGCGGTAGGCGAGGACCGGCTCGAAGGAGAAGAAGATGGTTGGGCGTCAGAAGGTCGAGATCCGTTACGTGTGACTTGGCCGGCATAATAGCCGGATGCTTGCTTTCAAATGCTTGTGTAGACCGACCGAGACGCCCTCCGACTCGTAACACGTTCTGGTCTAGAACGGGATCGAGGCGGCTTATCGGGCTGGAGCACTTGACATTTTGCATCCCTCTCAGTCTGCTTATTTCTTCTTTGTAGCTTTGTGATTGAACATAGCTGATCACGGCCGTCTCTGCGTCGTCAATTTCTTCCACAGACAGGAGAGCTGGTGTGGTCGGCTGATCAGCACGAGCAGCTGTCCCCTTCTTGTTCGGCTTCTTTTCGTTGGCCGATGTACTCGAGGCACTCGATCTGCTCCCGTCGTGTGCTGCTGTCCTCGTCTGCAGAGCCGAGAGCGCCCGCTCTGCCTTGGCCTTTAGGAGGCGTCTCAGCCGCAGGAAGAACGCCACCGCTCGCTTCAGTCGGTACCATGATGAGTACTGCAGTAGAAGTCTGTCTGTGGGGTTCTTCTCTGAGGTGCTTGTGACCGAAACTATCGCAGGTCGCTTCACTTCTGCGTCATTCTGGTCCAGTTGGACAGGTAAGTTCAGATCCACAGGCCAGTGCTCTTCTTTTTTCCACAGGAACTCCGGTGCTGATGTCCATCTCGAACGATGGAGAAACTTCTCCACAGAAACCCCACGGGAGGCTTCATCAGCCGGATTCGACTTGCCATCGACGAATCGCCACTGACCTGGGTCTGAGTGCTGCTGTATGACCTGGACTCTGTTGGCCACGTATGTATGAAAACGGCTAGTTCTGTTCTTGATGTAACGGAGAACGGTAGAGCTGTCCGTCCAGAATGTAGTGCTGTCTACAGCTACTTCTAGCTCCCTCTTGAGCTGTGCGTCTAGACGTACTGCTACCGTGGCAGCTGTCAGCTCGAGGCGTGGAATCGTGACAGTCTTCAAGGGTGTTACTCTTGCCTTTCCAGCCAAGAATGAGCAGTGGGTCTTCCCTTCGATATCTGTCATCCGCAAGTAGGCTACTGCGCCGTATCCTGTCTCACTTGCATCGGCAAAATAGTGAGCCTGGCAGGAAGTGATGGCCTTGAAGCCTGGGGGCTTGTAACACCGTCTTATCTTGAAGTCCTGAAGGTGATGAAGAGCCTGCGTCCACTCTATCCACTTCTGTTCCAGGTGCTGAGGAATGGGGTCGTCCCATCCCAGGTCCAGCTGACAGAGCTGCTGTAACAGGATCTTCGGAGCCATCAGAACGGGTGCTACGAACCCCAGAGGGTCAAAGAGCGAGCTGGTTGCCGATAAGATGCCTCTTCTTGTTGCAGGTTTTCTCATGTCCTGAACTTGAACTCCGATCGTGTCTGATGAGACATTCCAGAGGATACCTAGAACACGTTTTTCGGCTGAGTCCGTCTCCAGTAAGCTTTTACTGGCTGCTTCTACTGCTCTGTCTTCTTCTGGGATGTGTTCCATGACTGACTTGTCATTCGAAACGAACTTCGTGAGGTGAAAACCCCCCTTCCGGCATGCTGAGCGGAGCGACTCGGTTAGCTTCACAGCTGAATCTACGTCTGGCACAGACTTCAAGCAGTCGTCTACGTAGAAGTTACGTTCTATCGTGCTCTTCACTTCCGAGTGGTCCTCGGTCCCTATGTCTTCTGCAGTTTTCTTGAGGGCAAAGTTTGAGCACGCTGGTGATGACTTGGCTCCAAAAAGGTGCACCCTCATCCGGTAGTCCTGTGGCTCCTGAGATGTGTCACCTTTAGGCCACCATAGGAACCGCAGTAGATCTGCATCTTTCTCAGGCACTCTGACCATGTGAAACATGCTTTTGATGTCAGCGGCGAATCCGACTTCTTCCTGTCGGAATCTTATCAGTACACCGAGCAGGCTGTTTGTCAGATCAGGTCCTTGTAGCAGCTGATCGTTCAGTGACACGCCGCCGTACTTTGCTGAGCAATCGAAGACGACTCGCGTCTTTTCTGGCTTTGCAGGATGGCTGACGGCATGGTGGGGCAGATACCATGTCTTGCTAAGTCGATGGAGCTGTTCGGGAGGGACAACTTCAGCGTGACCTTCTCGGATGAGTTCTTCTACACACTCAGTGTATCGCTGATGTAGACCTTCGTCCCTCTCGAGTCTTTTCTTGCGCCCTTCGGCTCGTCTTTCAGCCATCTTGCGATTATTCGGTAGGCTAGTGTCTTCGTACTTCAGTGGTAGAGCTATTTCATACTTTCCGTCGCGCAGTGTGATGCTGTCATTCACTTGTTTTTGCCAAAGCTTATCTTCGACTGACAGACTTGGTTCGCTGCCGACCTTCTCCGTGAAGTCACTGTTGTACATATCAGTCAGCATTTTAGCTATATCTTCTTTAGCGCTGGCGCCGACTCGGTTCAGTTTGACGGTGTTGCTGCTGGTGATGTTGGTGCTCTGGTCGCTGGGGCCCACTATGGTCCAGCCGAGGCGGGTCTTGATGGCGTATGGTCCGCCGTCTTCGCAGTGTACTACGTCCCAGGGCTCCATGGCGAGAGGACAGTTACATCCGATCAGCAGGCCGACGTCTTCTGCTTCCACAACCGGAATCTTGATGCCAGCGAGGTGAGGCCACTGCTCCACGACAGATGCGTCCGGTATATCGCTGCTCGTGACAGGGATCTTCTTGATTGTGTATGTACACGGCAGTTTTACGCTGCCGCTCCCGTCCAGGCTTGATACTTGAAGTCCAGTTAGGGCTTGGCTGCTGATTTTTAGCTCGTCTTGCTCCACGGTCGTTATCGCCAGTGACGTTTCTTCTCCCTTTAGCTTCAACTTCTCAGCGAGAGCGTTGGTGATGAATGTCGCCGAGCTGCCACTGTCAAGAAAAGCGTACGTTTTGCTTGTTTTTCCGTTCCGGCCCGTGACCAGCACGGGTAGTATGGACATGACAGGTCCGGCTCGGTCCGTCGTCGTTCCGCCGCATACTTCACTTCTTGGCTCGGGCAGCGGACCGGGTCTTCCTTCTTCTGAATTTCTTGAGTCCATGTGAAGCAGAGTTGGGTGACGAGAGCCGCACTTCGAGCATGTCTTCCTTTTGCGACACTGCCTAGAGCTGTGCCCGTATCGGAGGCATCCAAAGCATAGGCCACTTTTCTTGACCAGCTCCAGTCTCTCGCTGGTAGTTTTATGCAGCATCTTCTGGCACGCTTCCAGGTCGTGACCTTCCTTGCAACACGGACAGAGTTCGCCGTTTGCTGCATCTTCCGTTGTTTTCGTCACATGAATTTTCGATTTCTTTACTTGTACAGCTTGTTCTCTTCTGTTTACAGGTGATGACTTTGTTCCACTGGAGATAGCAGCCATCTCAGCGGTTCCAAACACGGGATCGGCCGCCACTTCCACTTCCTTCTCCACGAACTCCACGACATCTTGAAAGCTGGGCTTCGCGTCCTGTCTTGTCAGAGAGAAGGCTAACCGTCGCCAGCCCTCTTGAAGGGCGGCTGGTAGCTTGCCAACAATCTTCTGCAGGTTCTTTGGGTGGTTTACCTCAGTTAGACTGCTGATGTCTTCCATAGCATTCAAACAGCCTCTCAGTTTGATAGCGAAGTCTTCCAGCCCGTCTATATCCGTGGCTCTGATCGCGGGCCAGGTGAGCAGCGTTTCCACGTACGCCTTAGATATTTTATAGTCATCGCCGTATTTTCGGTCGAGAGCCTTCCGAGCCTCAGCGTAGCCCTTAACTGGATCAATGTGCATGTAGCTCCGCACTATGGTGTTGGGCTTTCCGTCTGTGTATTGATCCAGAAAGTGCAGGCGCTCCGCGCAGTCTTCTGTCCTTTTGGCTATCCTGCTTTCAAATGCGCGGATGAATCCTTTATACTCCAAAGGATCGCCTCGGAAAGTCTGAATCTGCGACTGGGGTAGCAGAGTTCTCTTCTGTTGAGTTAACAGTGCTTGAATAGCTGTCAGTTCTAGTTGCGAATCGTCATTGTCATCGCCATTCGCAGCTGAGCCTTGTCGTCTTGGAATGGTCTCTTCATTGAGGACACTCGCGCTCATCTCAAGTGCTTTTTCTCTTGCTTCAGCAAGCGCAATTTCTTCTCGCAGCTGTAGCCTCTCTCGTTTCATCTTAAGCTCCATTTCTTCACGAAGAAGTCGTTCTTTTTCTTCGAGTAGAGCTACTTTGGCCTCTAGCTCTGCCCTCTTAAGAGTTTCTTGGGTTCTTTGGCTTGAGGTAGAGGAACTTGAAAGGAGAGACGTATGTGACACTGAGCTTCTGCATTCAATTGCCTTCGCTTGCTCTTCGGCAGCTAGAGCTTTCTCCAGTCTTTCTATCAGAACAGCCTTGTTGCCGCTTGTCGACAGGCCTCTTTTTCTGAGTTCTTCCCGTAGGGACTTTGCCGTACGTAACGGCAGGTCGTTTGGAGAGTCAGCTCCCATCTTCTTATGTACTTTGACTTACACTTGCGTCGTTTACGTTAAATGATGCAAAACCGCTTTTGACTAAATGTAGGCGCTGGATAGTGCTTTACGGGTGGCTTGAGCTGAGTGATTTTACTCTGATTTATTTCAAACTAAAGTTGATCGGGATGTCGTAATATTTCGGTATTAAAATAAAATATAAACTCAGGCACAAAATAGCACACTTCACACCGGTTCTTATCACCGTCTTTCTCACAGGTTCTTCTTCTTTCACGCACATATTCTCAACCACAACCACCGTCAAAAGCGATTTTTGGTCCGCGGCTACATGAAAGGCTTATCTTATTCTACACCAATTAAACTTAAATATCACTTAACTTCTTCCTTCCTTGCCTTGCGGTTTCGATACTTATTTTCAAAACCTTTGTTCTAAACCTATTTTACTTGTTTAAAATTATTTCTGTCCTACTTTTCTACTTCAGCAAAATTTTATTTGGTGTAGCTCGTGCCCGTCACGAATGACGCCGCCGACATAGAAACGGCATCTACAGTACTCCTCATACTTTAGTATGAGGCTTATCAATGGTCATGACTGATCAGCGAGCTGTTAAAAAAATCTTACAAGTACCTAACCAACAGACTCCCCAGAATCTTGCAAGAAAGATTCTTGCAAGGAAACCACCGCATTCTTACAAGACTCTTGCAAGATTGGGACAGTCTTGTACAAGATTCCCTAGGTCTTGCAAGACTGTCCTCAGAATCATATAAGATCTTGCAAGATCGAGAAGATTCTTGTAAGATCTTGTAAGATTTTTTCACCTGGGAGGCGATCGAGACGAAAACACCCCCAGTCGATTTACTGGATGTACCTACCTAATTTGTCATCAGCTGTTTCGAATGCTCAATACAGTATGGTGACCTCACAATGTATGGTGACCTCAGTGACCTCAGTGACCTCAGTGACATCAGTGACCTAATGTGACCTCATCATAATGTATGGTGACCTCAGGTGGCCTGGGTGACTTTGGGAGTTCCCATAACCGTTTTCGCCTATGGCAGCCATTCTATAACCAAGCAACTACTGGACCGATCGAGACGAAAACATCACAAGTCGATTCGTTGTATGCGATTTCATCAGTAGGTTCGAATAGGCATGGTGACCTCAGGTGACCTCGGTGACCTTGGTAGGCCACATAATTGTTCTCGCCTATTGCAGTTGTTTTATTGCAGCCTCGATAAAACCAGTTCACCGAGGTCACCTGAGGTCACCATATTCGAAAGGGCTGATGAGATCGCTTACAGGCGTTACAGCAAATCGACTTGTGGTGTTTTCGTCTCGATCTGCGATCAGTCTAGTAGTTGCTGAGTTATAGGATTATGGCTGCAATAATTGACGATTTTTTTACGCGACGTCCCACTCCCAACGTCATTGACTGGTCACCTGAAGTCACCATAGGTATTCGAAACGACTGATGACATCCGACATCGCATAGCAGGGGCGGAGCTTCCTATTCACTTGGTGGGGCGGCTACCCCACCAACTTGCCATTTTTCCCCACCAATAAGCGTTTTGCACCACCAACTTAAGCCGATTTGCAGGACTTTACTGCTTAGCAAACCAATATTTTTCGCATTGAGTTGAGGAGCTTTGAAATGGCTGTGTAATGCAAAATATTACCTACAATCTGTAATGAAAAGAATTGTTTCATTGTTTTAATTTATCCAAATTAACAATGGGACATTGTAGGTTTGACAACTTTTTGCCCCACCCCACCAACTTTCCTGGAAAAGCTTGACCCATGTCGCATCAGCATAGACTGGTGGTGCTTTCCCCCGCGTTCCCCCCCCCCCCCCCCGACATCGAACGCGCGGGGTTAGTCTCGATCGGCCCAGCAGTTCCTGTGTTATAGAATGGCTGCAATAGGTGAAATCGCCAAGGTTGTCTTTTGTAGTCACCGAGATAGCTTGTGGTCACCATGCTCAAAATAGCTCGTAAAATTGCTAATTTCAATTCGAATGGTGCTAATTTCGTTTTGATCCATCCAGTGGTTCTCCAGTTGTGGAATAACTACAAGTGTGGCGGTCGAATAACATCGAGCCCCGTTCTAAAATCTAATGCATAACTTTGACATCTCTAACGCATTCGTGACATTTATAAGATCAAATGATTGTTCATTTGCAAATCTCGCTGGCGATTCCCGTTCTCTCATTTGTGAATTACATCCATGTCGTGCTAGCCAAGCGCTAGCAGCCAATGACGGGGGCTTTGAAAATAGACAGCATCGGCTTCCGAACAGTGTTCCCTTGTTTGTTATTTTCCTGCAGCAGCGTGAATGTGAGAAATGTGAAATGCCACGTAGTGCACGGGAGTTGCACGGGAGTTCCTCGGGAGTTCCATGACGAAAAGCCCTGGTCTGTGCCTGATATGTGCTTATAGGTAATAGGTAACTTCTATTTTTCTATACCTGGTTACTTGGGTTAGTTGTCATAAAAAATTGTGCTGGTCTGCTCCATTAATGACATAGGTATCTTTTACCGTATGGCTTTGGAAGCTTAGGTACAGTCCACAGCAGAAGTAATGTGGGGTTTCAGTCATGGGTATGTTCTGCTTCTGAAGCTTCAGAACGATTAGCCAGACTTCGATGAAACTTTGAATGTAGCTTATATGCATCGTCACCCTTGCAGCTGCAACTTTAGCTATTGACATCTTCTTTTCGATTACTCCGCATTAAACAATCACCAGTCAAAGCCAACCGTTGAGATTGGTAAAACCCTACATTACTTTAGCGGTGGGCTGTACCATTTCAGTTCGGCAAACTAGACTTTTGGAATCAAAACATGGAGGCATCAATAATTTGATTCTGGTGGGAGGAGCCATGACCAAATATGGGCAATCATGGAATCAATTTTTTGATTCATTTGAGTACATTTTTGACTTCAAATGTATCGTTATGGTTTAGAAAGGCCCATGACGATGAGATTTTTCTTTAAGTAGGTAAAAAATGTGTAAGGTATGCAAAAAGTGTTCCTCAAAACTAAGAAATTGCCGCTTTGGCCTTGCGAATGGGAAAAAGACAGAGCCACTGTCCATCACCTAAAAGCTGTTTTGGGAAAATCACACTGTCTGTATGTTATTTTTGTATCATGAATCACATACTAAACTAGAACTATTTGTATAAATTGAAAAAAAATGAATTTTTTAACCCCTAGTTTTCATTGTTGTAGTGATTTTAAACTTATCATGTGGTTTTACCTGTTACTTCAGTTTTTGTATTCTTGACATTTAAAAATTGTGAATTGTTATCAAATGTGCTGAAGGTAAAGCACAACAACTCTGGATCAGGTCAATTCTTACGGACATTTTCGAAACTGGACATTTTCTTACAAAATACTTTTCTTACCGAACATATTTTTTCCAGACACTGCCGAAAAATCACCATTCCTACGTTACATTTCTATCGGAGGCAAATTCTTACATAGTTATGAAGTTTCTTACCATGATTAAAGGCAATTTTCAAGGTTCTATGAACATATTCTATGTTCTATAATTTTCATGATTCAAAGGCAATTTTCAATGATTTTTTGATTCCCTTGCCGTTTCGCCCCTGATCGAGCTAGAGCTTCGAGGAAGAAACGAGTGTGTAGCCCGTGACGAGAGGAAGCCGATGATACCCAATTTTTAGGTCCTAGGTCATCGGCAGACCTTCCAGGTCAGATCAATGACCCAAAAGTCGGGAAAATCGGGAGTCGGGACCTGTTAGAACGTCGTAAAGTGTGGCTACTAAGAGGTTTTTCGGGGTGCTGATCACGAATATTCTGTTAGTTTTGATCACAGATGATGTCTTCATGCATTTAGGCCTGAGGCCAGTCTTGCCAACAGAAAAATAGCTGCCTGCCGGAATTTTTTGTTTATGGACTGCTTCACATACGAAGCGTAGACGCGATGGGCTCGTAAGCGGATAGGGCTTTACTGTTTATGCTTCATATGTGAAGCAGTCTTTAGGCAAAAAATTCCAGCAGGTGGCTATTTTGCTGTTGGCAAAACTGGCATCAGGTCAGGTCAGGTCAGGTCAACCAGCAGGAGTTTTGCTGGGTAGTCGTAGTAGGTGGCAACTGCCTCTGACAGCTTCGTAACATGTTACGAAGGTACCAAAACTGCTTCGTAAATGTTCAGATGGCTGCTAAATTTGAATTCAGCTTCAAAAACTAGCCTAAAAGCATGTACAACTCGAAAAAGTGAACCGAGGTCATCAAAGATCAATGACCTGACCTGACTTTCAGGTGACCTTGACACCCACCCTTATGCATGAGATCAACATCATATCCCATATTTGAACGTTTGAAATCACGAAAAGACTGCAAACGCGAGCCATAATACTAATGCGAGCCAACATACGCCGAATCGCGATCCCGGCTAAACATGGGCGCTGTTCGTTCGCGATTTTTTATCAGCAGGCAGCGAGCATGCTGCTGTTTCTTGGCTCCTCATTGGTCGAATTCACGTGGTCTATTCATTTGACCAATGAGAGGCCAAGAAGCGCCAGAATAACTTCCTTATATGGGAAAACTGAAAGCATGCTGATAAAAAACAGCGACCGACCAGTGCTCAGGTCTCGAAAAGTAGGTCACAGGTCAAAGGTCTTTGGGGTCAGAGTCATGCAATTTTCAGGGTAGGTGTAAAATTCATTGACGTGAGCGCACTGAAAGTTTCGTCGCGGTCGGCCGTTTTTTTCGCGAGTTTTCGCAAAAACCGAGGGGGGAGGGTCCGTTCGATCCCCCGCCCATACGGGTGAGGGTTAATGTAGCTGTGATGCGGTGGCTAAAAAAGAAGGGCTTCCATAGAGTAGAAGTAACAATTCACTAATACATATGGCTTGAAATGTTATAATTTTTCCTTATTTTTTAATTTAGTGTTTGTGATGATTTCATGTGGTTACTTTGTGATTTCTCAGCATATAATGGTGCTATAATTGCTATAAATGCAGGTTGTGTTTAGTCATTTTCTCCCAGTGGTGTACCTACCTAATGTGTTTTGTTTTCAGCTGATTAGAGTCGGCAGTGATGGGTGCTGCCGTCAGTGGCCTGAAGGCGGTGGCTGAGAGCACCGAGCTGGCAAAGCTGGTTGGTACCGAGCCTCTTCCAGCGGATGACCCTTTCTGGCAGGGACTGCATCAGTTTCAGCTGAGCAGGCGGCTGACCAGGTGAGCAGTGTGCAGTACCGGCCGCTGACTGCCTATCCTTTCCTGCTAGCTCTGTACCAAATTTATTATGCCATCATACTTTCTATAACCAGGTAGACTCTTCTGTAAATCTTGTGATGCTCTTTCCTGATTTATCTTTGGCCACATGCTACAGCGCCGCGGAAAAGCGCATTTGATAGCCCTCTTAACGCTCTTAGCTACAGCGCCGCGGGAAAGCGCATTCGGCATTCGATAGCCATCTTAGCACTCTTTCTGACGTAAGCCCTCAGTTTTGACCTAGGACCAGCGGTTTTGTCTCTGGCAGGGCAAAAACTCGGAAAATAACCGTTTTATTTTTTATATAAACAACTTTTCACATAAGAAAGGCTTAACATTTACGTTCCAGCAGCGTGTTCCTCTCGTCGAAATCCGTCGTATGAACTATAATTTGACTTTCATAGCAAGGCCATTTTGAAATTTTGACCCATGGTAAAGGTCACGACCTGACTGGAAAAGGTCATGCTGTATATCAGTCTATCCGTATCATCAGCCTGAACACATCTAACGTGTTTTCGTCGCTTTAGCATGTCTATCAAAAGTAATTACAAGAAAAAAACTGCTGGGGACCTTTCATGACCTGAGATGACCTCGGGGATATAAGGAGGGGTCACAGTTGCAATTTTCTTTTTCAGTGTGTGAATTTTAACCCAATACCGATGTTTGAGTGTCTAGAATAGCGTTCGTCCAAAAGAGACGCCTTTCAATTATCTTCCATTGACTTAAGAATGGAGAGGTCGCAAAATTGACCTGTGCTTTGGTCACCGGTATCGAAATTCTTAGATGTATTTTTTATTTTATACTTACTGTATTTCTTATCAATCTCCTCCCATAGAGACCTCCCATATGTTATTAGTGTACTGAAGGCTTCCTACCAAACAGTATTTACTGCTTTTACATTACTCATTATAACTCATTTACTGCTTTACTGCTGCGCTTTTACTGATACGTTTTACTTGGATGTGAAAGGTGTGATTTTTGTATTTTTGTCTGCCGGTTCACAGGGAGGATGACAAAAGGCTGGAGGAAGCCGTGTCTGGCCTGTTCAACACGTTCGTCGCCAATAACCCGGAAACGGGCAACCTGGGAGCGCTCGTCCGCGTCTTCCTTGGGAAGGCCTCCGAGCTGAAAGCGGCGGCCCAGCTCGATAGGTGACTGTGTACTGCGGATTCTTGTCAGTCAGGTGCTGAGCTGGCATGACATGCATTGTAATCCAAGGTCTTTCCTCTGTTGTCGTGCAGCAATTTATATCGCAATTTTGTTCTAGATACGCTTTTACCAAGATCCCAGTAAGAATAAGATAGAGGAGAGTGAGAAAGAGTAATATAGAGAGTAAGATTCCCGAGTACGATCGCTTTATGGGATCCCAGAGAGCGGTGCGCTGTGCGGCGCGCCTGCCGCTCGGGCCGCCCTCTGCTGACCTCGCCCGCTCGCCCCCCTTCCCCCCCCCCCCCGGCAGCCGTCTGGCCGTCCTCTGCTGACCTCCCCTCTCCGGCAGCCGTCTGGCCGACCAGACGCTGAACGCCCTGCTGGTGCTGCGCTGCGCGTGCAAGCTGAGCGTGCAGCTGCTCTCGGAGGAGGAGCTGGTGCGCCAGCTGGAGGCGCCGGCGCCGGCCGGCCAGCTGGAGACGCTGCTCACCGGACTGGTCGAGGTGCTGGTCGACGTGCCGCTGACGTGAGTGACGCCTTCCCCCCACTCCGGGCCGGACAGGCGCCGGCGCTCAGTGCAGTGTAAATGGGGCAGAGATTCCTCGATATGTGGAGAACATCTGTAAATACGTGTTAGATCCGGGCCTGTAGGTACGTGTAATATTGATACAACACTGTTATGCCAATTGCTACTTATGCCAATGCGTGTTAAGCGGTGTCTCTGTTGTGTGTAAGCACTTGCTACAAAGGATTATAATCTCAAAGGATTATAATTGTCCAAAACACCGATGGCGTATGATATAATTCCATCAATTTACTAAATAGTTCATACTCTTTATAATACGAGCTTACTTCGCCAGTTCTGTAAGCGAGTCTCGTCCTCAAACCGAGTCTCCTCATTGACTGATCCGCTCTCTCCGTTTCTCAGCGACGCCACGTACTACATCCATCTGGAGTCGCTGAACACGCTGCTCGTCCTGCTGGCCTGCCAGCTGTACTCGGTGAAACAGGCCCAGTCGCTGGTCGTCTACAGGTACGGTGTAGGGTGGGGTAGTAACTAGTACCTCCCTGGCAGCTGTACTCGGTGAAACAGGCCCAGTCGCTGGTCGTCTACAGGTACGGTGTAGGGTGTGTGTGTGTGTGTGTGGGGGGATATATCGACACCTTTTTTTTTAAACACCACATCTGCTCTCCCGTGAATTTCCGGGAGGCACGAAAGATCTCCTTTTAAAAGTGTCCGATCGTCCGATCCTGATCAAATATGTGTGTTCGTAGGCCTGTTCTGGTATTGCTTTATCTGCCAAGACAGACAAACTTGAGAAAAATCGAGTGATTGTACCTTTTTTGAAGGTCTCTAACCAGCTTGTCTGAAATTCACCGGAGAACAAATGTGGGGTTTAAAAAAAAGGTGTCGATATTACCTCTGGTGCTACTGGTGTGGCTCCTCATAGCAGACTGTTGAGTGTTCCTGATGTTCACTGTTCACCCGTAATGTTTTCCGTGTGAGGACTGACATTGTGTGCGCATTCACTTGGTAGGAAGGCGGTCAGATGCATCAACTTTGTGCGTTGCTTTTACGATAACGCTTTTTTGTGATATGCATTACTTTTGTTCCGACCATCGCAGCCTGCTGTTTGACTTATTCGGCCTATACCTAACTTGTTTGCTTAGTAGAAGAACAAAGGGTAGAAATATGGACAGGCACCTATCTCTTATACATATGTTCTGTTCGACATATTCTCTCATAGCGTTCCTAACCGCCGCCCTATCTCGGCCCCAAATTTTATTACATGTCTGATGTCAGGTGTGCCAGGGTGAGCACTGAACAGGCCAGCGTTGAGAAGAGCTATTCACGCGTTAGCCAACAGTTGTGCTCAACAGTTGTGCTACGTGCACCAGGTGATATGTTTCTTTTACTTCATTACAAATAAAATCAACCAATTATCTAAATTAGATGAAGTAGGAAAACGTTCACGCTGGATGCTAGCAGTACGTACTACTGACGCTCGTCGTGGCCTGTCCGCGCGGTGCCGCTGCCCGCGCAGTGTTCTGCCCGCGCGGTGCCGCTGCTGGTGGCCACTGCTGACTCCCCCCCCCCCCCGTCTCCTGCCCGGATACTACTACTGCTGACTATCCCGTGCCCTGCTCTGACAGGACGCTGATGTCGGGCCGCTGCGCGATGCACGCGCCGATTCTGGTGCGCACGCTGCTGCGGCACACAGTGGCCCGCCAGCCGGTGCCGGACGCTCGCTACACCGGCGGCGGCAGCCTCGTCTTCGGGCTGGCCAGTACGTAATGGGGGGGGGGGGGGGCTGACACTGGTCAGTACGTAATTGTATGGGGCAGCGGTAGCCTCATCTTCGGACCGGCCAGTACGTAATGTGGGGGCCTGAGACTGGTCAGTACGTAATATGGGGCGGCGGTAGCCTCATCTTCGGGCTGGCCAGTACGTAATGTGGGGCGGGCGGTGGAGACCGGCCGGTACGCTCAGTGCGTAATATGGGGGCGGGGGCTTGAACTGGCCAGTACGTTGCAAGGGGGTCGGGCGGCGACAGCGTCGGCAGTCCAGTGGCAGGCGGCCGCTGTGTGTCTCTGCCGTGTCTGCAATACAGCTGGGCTGGGCTCTGTCGCCCTTCAGTTCCTCAAAATAACACTCCTTTTTCATTCTCGATCGTAACTCATGGTATCACCTTTTGATGTCGCACATCCTGACGAAAGTTGAGCAGCGTGGTATCGACAAAATAAGCGTTTTTTTTTTTTGCCTTTTTATTCTTCTTTTGCTGAGGTCTTCTATTTTTATCATTTTGTTGCAACATATCTATGATTAATTCATGTTTGCTCGACATTCAAGCCCGAGCCTGAAGTGAACGATTTTATGATGAACAGTCCCGTGACGTGAAGCGTGTTTTTATATAAAATAGTAATAAAATGAGCTCTATGTACTTAGTAAAGTTTTTGTCCTCGAAGCCGCAAACTCTGTTGGATGATCCAGTTTGAGTGCCTTCAGTTTTGTTGGCTGCTGGGGACGCCCGAGACGCGGTGACTGCCGCTCAGGGACGGCGCCCTGCGGCCGGCAGGTGACCGCTGTCTGTCTGTCTGTCTGTCTGTCTGTCAGTGTCTGTCTGTCTGTCTGTGTGTCTGTCTGTCTAAAGGCGCCCTGTGGCCGTCAGGCGGCCTGTGGAGCGCCCTGTCTGTGTGTCTGTGTGTCTGTCAGTGTCTGTCTGTCTGTCTGTCTGTCTGTCTGTCTGTCTGTCTGTCTGTGTGTCTGTCTGTGTGTCTGTCTGTCTGTGTGTCTGTGTGTCTGTCTGTGTGTCTGTGTGTCTGTCTGTCTGTCTGTCTGTCTGCCTGTCTGTCTGTCTGTGTGACGGCGCTGTATGGCCGGCAGGCGGCCTGTGGAGCGCCCTGACGCTCGGCTACGGCTCGCAGCCGGCCGTCGAGGAGCGGGCGCCGGGCGGTCTGCCGCCGCTGGCGCAGCAGAGTCTGCACACCCTGCTGGTGCTGGGCAACCACTGCACCGGCGACCGGCAGCTCTTCAACCCGTTTCGGCAGGCGCTCTTCCACATGACCGACCTGCAGGGTGAGCCGGCTCGGATTCGATCTGTTTGCGCCTTGTCTCAGTTTGCACCTCGAGCCCTGGCGGGAATGGAACTCTGACCAACGCAGCGGCTGAGACTAGGACGGCAGCTGCTGCGTCGGGCCGTCGCTGGCTGACCATCTGACGTGCCCCTGCTGTGCGCCCGCATCCCCGGCCAACTGATCGACTGACGCGCCCCCGCTGCAGACCCCTCAGGCAGCCCGACTGACGCGCCCCTGCTGTGTGTACCCGCAGACCCGGCCCGCAGACCCGCCGGCTGACTGACTGACGCGCCCGCAGCCCCGGCCAACTGCCCGACTGACGCGCCCTGCTGTGTGTACCCGCAGACCCGGCCGGCAGACCCCTCAGGCAGCCCGACTGACGCGCCCCGCTGTGTGTACCCGCAGACCCGGCCCGCAGCCCCGCCGGTAGCCCGACTGACGCGCCCCGCTGTGTGTACCCGCAGACCCGGCCCGCAGCCCCGCCGGTAGCCCGACTGACGCCCCTGCTGTGTGTACCCGCAGACCCGGCCCGCAGCCCCGCCGGTAGCCCGACTGACGCGCCCTGCTGTGTGTACCCTCAGACCCGGCCGAGACGCACCTGCCCGACTGACGCGCCCCGCTGTGTGTACCCGCAGACCCGCCGACTGCCCGACTGACGCGCCCCGCTGTGCGTACCCTCAGACCCGGCCAACTGGGCGACTGACGCGCCCTGCTGTGTATACCCGCAGCCCCGGCCAACTGGCGGACTGACTGACGCGCCCCGCTGTGTGTACCCGCAGCCCCGGCCAACTGGCGGACTGACTGACGCGCCCCGCTGTGTGTACCCGCAGCCCCGGCCAACTGGCGGACTGACTGACGCGCCCCGCTGTGCGTACCCTCAGACCCGGCCGAGACGCACCTGGCCGACGCCGGCGACGGGTTCGGGTTCGCGATGAGCAGCCTGTACTCGTTGCTGTGCTCGCCGCCGTGTACCGACCAGACCACGCTGCTGCTCTACCTGCTCATCCACAAGAACACGGCGTTCCGGCACTTTGTGCTGGCGCGCACAGACCTCGACGCCCTGGTAGGTACTGGACGTCCCAACAGGCTGCTGACTCATCAGGGTAGCTTTTAAGGATATTTACAATAAAATGCAGGACGGTGTAAATTGTAAAAGGAAATGTACGTGATGAAGATATTGGTTGTTATGTCACCGTCCAATTGAATCTACAAATCAGTGACTGTTTTGTATTTCGATGCGACTGTAGCTGCTAACAATAACGAAAGTCGTAAGTGTATGTAATGTGTTTTCCTGGATGTATGCGTTTATCCACATGATTATTTTTCGTTTGCTAAGGAACTAAATGCAGTGCAGGCTGCAACAACGGAAAGGTGGAGCTTGGATAGCACATCAATTACCCTGGTGATGCCCTGTTTGGCACCAATGAGAAGTCCCCCATATTGTGCGCTGTGTGCTCGGCAGGTACTGCCGACGCTGCGCGTGCTGTACCACGCGCCGGAGAGCAGCAGCCACCACATCTACATGTCGCTGATCGTGCTGCTCATCCTCAGCGAGGACGAGCTCTTCAACCGCTCCGTCCACTCCACGGTACGTGATGGTCAGCGCCGAGCGGGGCGGCCCGCGGCCGACAGCCGGCCGTGGGCCCGACACCACCCGTCCGTCCACACAGTACACACTACACACTACACACCCTGTGTCTTATTACCGGAATGAGGAATCACATGATTAATTATGCGTGAGGTTTGGTATTGGAAAAAATATCAGAGAACTAGGTATCATAACACATCTTTTCCTACGCCAATCATATGAACAACGCATGGTTTTGTTACTTCAGCAGCATCGCAAAATTATCCTGCAGTGTCACATTGCTATTGTGTAGTTTCTATTTGGAGGGGCCGCGTTTCATATTGGAAAGGTTTCGGACGGGGTCGCGCCTGGGTCGCCCAGCTGGGTCACCGACAGGGGCCGCATCCACTGGGTATTAATGCTGTGTTATCGGCCTGTGAGACGGACTGGCATTCCGTGCCCACTCGTTAGAACGTCTGTTGACTGCTACCGGTGACCGGCTGCTGTGACAGATGTTCGTGTAAATGATCTGACTCGGACTGCTGGGGCAGATATTCGAGCAGATGGTCTGTGTTCTGGCTTCTGACTGTACTGACTGGCTATACTGACAGATGCACCAGGTCAGCTGGTACACTGAGAGGCCGGGATGGTTTGTGTTTTCTGACTGTACTGACTCTGACTGTTCTGACAGATGCTGCACCAGGTCAGCTGGTACACGGAGCGACCCCTGACAGAGATCTCCCTGGGTGGCCTGCTCATCCTGGTAGTGATACGCACCATCCAGTACAACATGACCAAGATGAGGGTGAGCATGTACCGATCACCACCACAGACCTGACGCACCATCCAGTACAACATGACCAAGATGAGGGTGAGCATGTACCGATCACAACCACAGACCTGACGCACCATCCAGTACAACATGACCAAGATGAGGGTGAGCATGTACCGATCCCAACCACAGACCTGACGCACCATCCAGTACAACATGACCAAGATGAGGGTGAGCATGTACCGATCACAACCACCACAGACCTGACGCACCATCCAGTACAACATGACCAAGATGAGGGTGAGCATGTACCGATCACAACCACCACAGACCTGACGCACCATCAAGTACAACAGATGAGGGTGAGCATGTACCGATCCCAACCACCACAGACCTGACGCACCATCCAGTACAACAGATGAGGGTGAGCATGTACCGATCACCACCACAGACCTGACGCACCATCCAGTACAACAGATGAGGGTGAGCATGTACAGGGACCCGCAGTTGCTACTGTACACATATATTACCAATTTAGAATTGCGCTATTATTTGCTAAGTGCTGGCCATTGGAGAAATGAAATGTAGCGCAAAGTATGGAGGAATAACACATGTTTGCTCCTAGGACGTTTGTTTTGTATAATTCCTCTTACCGCAACAGATATTCTTCCAAAACTACAATCGTGCTATTTTTCCGCGCCGGTTGCCTCCCCAGAGCCCGTCCTTGGTATCGCCTATAGCTTCCGTTCCCGCTACGTGAATGAAAGTCACGTGACTACTACAGGTTTGCGCTCAGTACTAACACACCTAGCCCGAGGGCCGGTCCGTAGCGGGGAGGGGTAGAACGCCAGAGCTCCAGCGCAGTGGAGGTGGTGATGGCCCGTATCATAAAGAGGCAACCGTAAGCAGAACTACAATTGCCGCAGTATAAGATTATGATCAAGTTTTCTTTAGATGTATTGATTGACAAGAAAGTGCAATGCTTATCCGATATAATAAAACGGTGTCCAAGGCCTTGGAAGAACTATAAAACATATTCAGCAACGTATAAATTTATGATACAGGCCATGACCTTTCACCTTGCCTCCGGGGAGGATCGCTCAGGAAGCCACATACCGATCGAATCGAGGCCTCGCAGCGCGGCGGCAGAGGAGAGTGGATAAACCATCGCCAGATCTTTCGTTTACTTATGTTTCCAGAAGAAGGGGGGGGGGGGGGTGGAGGGTGAGGGCTGTTTTCAACCCACTCACCAATCCTTTCCTTATTAACTTATAGCTTACCGAAAAATGCAACACAATGGTGGCCGTCACGAGATGTAGCGAAGAGTGCCTCAGCCACACCGGCTTTGAGTAAACTTTAAGCATTGGAATTCGGGCCAGTGATCCTGAAGCGATATCTTTTTTTGGTCGTGCATAAGCTGGGATGACGTCGTCCAAGTTAATTGCGAAGAAACGGTTTTAGTTTCAGAACATTTATGAGGCTAGTCGCGCCAAATGGTATACGTTTGTTGCAAAATGTCAAATAGTGATACCACAGAGTTGACGTGCTATCCAGATGATGGAATTTATTTGACACAAGAAGTCAACAAGTGGCATCGTTAGTCATCCTGCATACCTATAAATCGATTCGTCACCTTGGTTCGAGCTCAATAGTTCTTTTCGCGGATGATCGGTTTCGTTTTCTTTCCTTTTTTTGGGGGGGGGGGGCGGGGGCAGTTAATGAGCCAGTAACCACCCTCCCCAGTCCCCTAAACAACAATTGTTGACAAATACTGTGATGGCCTAAAAAAATGCCCTCAATTGTGTCACGTAGGGGAGAATGAGGTAAGTTGAGCCGTTTTTTTCGTAAGCTACAGGCTAACTTACTGATCATTTTTCTGCGTTTACGGGTTGGACGGACTTTTGGACGGACTTTTGGTCATTTGCGCATGTAATGGTGGCCAGAAATGTTTCATACCGCTTATTTTTGTACTGAAAGGCTGCGTCAAAAATCATCTTGCACGTTGCTCTCTTACCCCATGGGCGGGGTAAGTTGAGACACGTCGTGGGGAAAGTTGAGCATGGATAGAAAAAGCGAACCTCTTCTTTTCCCGGGCGCGGCGAAGAGTGGGCTCTTTTATTTACTCCATGGCATACATACTTATGGCAACGTTTTTTCCTCCATCAAAAAGTAACTGTTTAAAGCCTTCCAATAACTCGTCAAGTTTTCTATCAAGGAAGAAATCATATTATCCTTCAGATAATCTGCAATTCACTTACAACTTGTGTAATCAACAAAGAAAAAACAATTTCCTACCATTTTTATTCAGCAGAAACAAGCGCAGCTCAGTTTGGTTTTCGACAGCGGAGACAACAATGGCTTATCCGGCTCATCTTACCCCAGGTGAAAATGGCTCATCTTACCCCACCCGTGGTCATTTTCGATTAATGGCTGACACCTGCTAAGGAAAATAACCATGCACCGCAGATAACAACCATCTCATTTTAAAGGCAAAACATGTCTTAGTTATTAGGGGTGATACCACATGTTACCGGGGCTGAGCGCGAGAACGTTGCCGTCTCACGTGAAAGACGTGAAAGACGTGAACATCGTAAGTAAACGGCACATGGAAGCTCAAGTCAATTAGCGCCATAGGAGCTGAGAAACATGGGGTGGCTAAACTTGCCCCTTGGCTCATCTTACCTCACTCTCCCCTATTTGGGGCTCTCAACTTTGATTTGTTTAAGTTTTTTGTCTGTTCATTATAAAAGCTGTCAAATTTGCCGTATCATTAAACTTTTATTGAGTTTGTATTTCACACTTATCTAAAATGAACAATTTTGTCACTGGCTTCTTTTATGAATGGAATTGGATGGTCGCATGAATGAACGAATGAATAGCTCCATTTGAGCATCAGCTGAAATCAATCCTAAAATTTAATCTACCAGTCTGCAACGAGAAGGTTTAAAAATCAGTGCAAGTTAGGTGCAGTTTCTAATCTATGCCGTTTTTTATTAAGTGTCTCATAGCTCCTTAATCTTGAGCCGCTTCTCTTACGATTCATTTTATGTGGTGCTTACATTGTTCAAGAAGTTATAGTATTTGAGCTCGTTGGTCTTAAAAACTGCTATCGAAGTAACTTAAAGTGTTTCGGGCTTCGGCACTTAAAAACCAATCGATATTTAACCCTCACCCACTTAGGCATTTCTTTTCAGCGTCTTACATGTAGCGGAGGGGCGTAGAAACCCTCAGCCATTCGGCCCTTGATAAAAATAGCCAGAGCTTCGCTGAAAAATAAAAAAAAAGAGCGAGCTGCTCGTGACGAGAGAAATCCGATGATTTGAGGGTCCTGGTCATCGCTGACGAGAGAAAGCCAATTATTTTTATGTCCCGGTCAATGCTGAGATCCTAGGTTACTGGATGCTCCCAACGCATCATTTTTAGAGTTATGACATCGAAATACACACCAAACGATAGAGAATTGATCAAGAATCACGATAGTGAAAGTTTCAAGTCGATACCTCTTACCGTTTTGCCGCAATCGGCGCGGAAATATGAAAAAGTTAGATTTTTCCGAAAATTTGACCTTTGACCGGTCGTAAATAGGTCAAATGTTGACCTAGGACCAAAAAATAACCACCAATCGCGAGATCTCGTTGAGAGCAATCCGTTGGTCTTTTCCGCTAAGCTCTAAGACGCTCCATTTTCAAACGCCAGGGGGGGTCGCACCAACCCCCCCCTGCATGGGCGAAGGTGGCAAAACACCGTTTACGGGCGAGGGTTAAAGGTAATTTGGTTCAAAGATTTAAAATTCTCAGACAAGATGGACAAATAATAAGGGCTATTTAATTTTCTGGAAAGTTGTAAAATTGATTAACTCCAGGGCACCAAAGAATCGTCGCAATCCTTCGCTTTGCCGCGATTTATTGGTGAAAAACAGGGGGCGCGGTCTACTTACATCTACTTATGTGTGTGGTGAGGGCTAATATTCATTTTATCTGTGTTGATGAATATGCAACAATTTCTACATGAACTGAGAACAGTCCATAAGAGTATGTTTTTCTCACGGACAATGACAATATTGGATAAAAATAAGTGTATAGGTTTAACATCGATGAGAACTATATGCGGCACCGTCTCGGTCTAGCCGGGTTGCCGATAAAATAGCACACATGTTTATAAGCTTCCATGATGCGCTTAACCCTCGCCCGCACATGCCATTTTCCCATCCTAGAACGCACATGGGGGGGGGGGGTGGTTGCCACCCCCCCGCGCCATTTCGTTCCTGTTGGAGATAGAGCTTAGCAGTAAAGACCAAAAAGATTCTTTGGGAAGAGACGAATCCAATGAAACCCAGTTTTACCTTCTCAGGTCAGTCATTGACCTTCCAGGTCAGGTCAAACTAAAAAATGTTGCTGTTTTGGGTCACCGTTGGATATCAAATGCGCTGCTTATCAAATACCGATGACGATGCTGTTTTCTGGTGCCAAGCCAGCTAGAACCTCTTTGTCACACTATCCGACCAGAATTTTGCTGCTGAGGTCATTTCAGGTCAAGTTAGGTCAAGGTCAATTATATGTGTTTGTATGTCTGTGTGTGTCTGTGTGTATACTGATGTGTGCACCGATTGTTTTTGGGTCCATATCACATGAAATCATGATCTGAGAAGCTTTTACCAAAAATGCAGTCAAAAAACTTCACAAAAAGTAAATTCAGCTTGCCTAAAACGAAATTATCTTAGATGACCTAGGTTGACCTTGACCCTGACCTTGACCCCTGTACATCGTCGAACAACATGTTCCATGATAGGTGGGAGGTAAGACTGGCAAAAAAGGCCCAAATCAGGGTGTCAAAAGCTCACAAGGCCCATGGCAAACGCAAGATGTTGAGAATTGGCCATTTGGGTCATGACATGACCTGAAAAACAAGATCATATCTCCGAAACCAAAATCACAGAAACTTGAAATTTTCAGTGGACATCAAGAAAGGATAGAGGAGCAGCTATACGAAAAATCAGCCTTCTAGCTCTAAAAATGTTGAGTGCAGAGCAGAAA